TATATGCACTGGTGATATCATTCATCAAAAGTTTAGTAATAACTCTGGGTTTAATTTCATGGTCTTTATTCTGCTCCCCTGCAGTTTAACCGTATGAACAAGTAAACAAGTAATATGCACTCAATACATTATCTTCACAGAACTAAAGAACACGCCACAACAAACCTGAAGGCAATCTTGTTATCAAGAAAGACAACTCAAAATGTGAGACCTAGTTTTCTCTAAATGGAAGGCTTGTTTTTTAAAACTGAATTCGTATAAATTCAGCATTATCCTCAACCACCAGCAAGATTATTTATGTAATTTCATGTGCTTATTCTAAAGTTCACTGAAAAAAAAAAACAAACCAAAAAAAAACCCAGCATGCAATAATACTAAAGATTCTAAAAATATAAAACGGAGGGGGATTGTGAAGAAAGTAGTAAAGGCAAAAATGGTTAAATGTATACAAATAAAATTTTATCCCTACCCAAACCAAAAATATAAGAAAATACATTTTTAAAATCTTGGGGAAGATCTAAAGCACGGGGCTGGCTGGGACCATCAGAGAAAAAACACTAATACGTTTTATAGGCTGAAACCATTTCATATTATACAAAGAATAGTCCAGCCTTGCCCCACAAATCTATAGTGCACTCTATTTAGGAAAGGGGAACAAATTCTGGCAGTTAGAAGTATCACTTGTTTCATAAATCCACTGACCTCTGAAGCAGCAGCTGGCGGAAGTTGCCACTCTGTGGGTTAATTGTCAGATGATGCGACAAGTAGTTACACAGGCGAGCCCCCATGTAAGAGAAATTGGGGATAGATGTGGCCTTTCGGAAAGAAAAAAAAAAGTTTTGTATGACACAGATACACAAAGTCATTAATACACCCAACAGCAAGTCACAAGGCTCTCCTCCCAAAACTGACCACATAGCACAGCAAGTCTATTAAACTAGAAACTAAACTCCCTCCCAACTTGATACCAAGAACCAAAAAAAAAAAAAATTTGGGACAGAGGGGAGGTAAAGAGGTATCATAAGGTCGCAAAATCTGATGTTTGGGTAGGTGGGTAAAGAAAACGGGAAAGATTTGGTGTGAAAAAAAAATGTATACTAACTTTGGAAGTAAACCAATATAAAAGAAAAATTTTGTAAAACCCTCAAAAACCAAAATACCAAGAAAAAATTTGAAGGCAAGCTTTCCCTGATTTAACTGGGTCCCAAAGTCGACGGACGCCTCTTTAAGCTTACCCATTTTTGCACACTCTGAGCATGTCACGTGTATGTGACAAGCACGACAGAGTAGGCTCTTTGCCGAGAGGCCGCTCTTTCCCATAGACGGCACAGCACGCTTTGATGCTTACTATCAAGAGCCCAGGCCGCTGCATCTGTGTCTGAGCGTGACTACATGTCCCCAAGTGTCAGTTTCTGATTCTTAAAGATGTGACCAGGGGGCAGCGGACTAATACTTCAAGAACATTCCACAGACACTGGAACCAACTTCTTAGGTAAGACAATTCACATGTTAGGAGGGTGAGCAGCTTTGCCAACGTCATGAAAACAGTTAAACAAGAAGCCTGGCTCTACCAAATGCCTTCCTGCCGCACAGAGTGGCATTTAAAAGTCGTGTGACATTACAGAAATCCCTTAACCTCTCTGACAAAACCTCAGCTTTCTCATGTGTGAAATGGGACTACCACCACTTCATAACTACATGTCGCGTGTTCAGCTTCGGCAGTGCTGGGCATGAAGCACAGAATTTAGAATTCTTCATTTTTAGCTTTCAACAGACCCTGTAAAGCTGCTCATTCAGGAGAGACTGATTTCTCTTGAGGTCAGGTATGTTCACGAGGTACAAAACAAACAAAACCTCTGCTGGCTTCCTTCAGCTCAGTTTTAAAATTATAGCAGACATGATTAAAGATGGAGGCTTTTCTAAGGACTCACAGTCAAAGCTTGCTACTTCCATTTCACCCTCATAAATAACCACCTTCAAGCCACAAAGATTTTTATCCCGTCTCCACACGGCACGATTTTTCCATTCGGGCATTATTTTGTACAGACTTCATGAAGACGAGTATTTAGTGTTGCCTCTGTTTTACCCTAGTCACACCTCCTACCTTCAGCCAGCCAATATGGTCACACCAGGGTTTTCTCTA